ATATTCCTTTTGGCTTCAATGAGTAGTCAATTGGGCTAGTGTGTGAAGCTGAAAATACAAGAGAATCCATTTCTGCTGGGGACAGAAATCCAGCACAGATAATTCTCTTCTTTATTCTGGAGAAATTAAGGTACTGCTTCTCCTGTTGGGCTGATCCTTCTGTAGATCCTTCATCCCAGTCTTCCCCTTAGAGGCGTTAATCCCACTCTCTCACAGCAACAAAAAGCATGCTGGTCTGCAAGCACCAGACTTCACCTCTGCCCGCTTTGATGGGACTTTAATGGACTTATCCATCTTTCCAGACAGAAGTCCTCCATCTGGATCACAGCTGTTTCCTGGGTCTCAATCTTCAGGCACATCTCCTGTCCATGCTTTAGCTGGTGAATGCATTTCAGTCCACAGTTCACACTGCTAATGCTATGGGCTGGGCCTGCCCAGAACAGCTTCCCCAGGGAGCTCCATCCTCCATCATTCTGGCTGGATTGCGGGAAGCCGCCAAAGGACAATCAGCCTCAGCCATGCAAACCTTTGATTTGCTGGATACAGCCAGCATCTCTGGTTCCACCAGCTGGATTCTCCTAAGGGACTATGCACTGGAAAATCCGCCCACTCAGTGTAGCAGCTCTGTGCATAGGAAGGGCACAGCATGAGTGCCACTTCTAGATAAAATATGAATTGTTAATGCAGTGATCACAAACAGTGGGGTTTTGCCTATAACAGGGGCCAGGCTGAAGTACCTTGCCTGCCATGGATGTACCCATACAGCACAACGCCAGGGCAGGCTTCTTGTATCAGTACAGCTTTGCTCTGAGGGAAGCCTGGATGTGGAATGTACCTGCTGTAGCACATTTGTGCTAGCACAAACAGCATTTCCTGTGGGCAGGAGGACTGCCCTGGAGCCAACAAAACAGGGAGCAGCAGGATCCATTTAAACACACACACCAAGAGGCACAGAGAGGAGAACAGAAACCGCTGCCAGCCCAGGAGGCAGATGCTGTGAAGGCTTTTCTTCTCCAGGACATGAGGATTATGTGACATTGAAGACATGGACTTTGTCCCAGCTGATGAAAGAGCTTCATGGTGCTGGTGGCCAGAAGCCGTGAGCAGAACAGTGGTACAACAGTGGTGTTGTAAACATACTGCTATGTGCATTCCCAAACCCATGCCCACAAATATGTGAAGTCAGTTTTCCATGAGCATTTGCAGCCAAGGCAAATCAATCATGGGCTGTTTGCAAAAAAAAAAACCGTACACAAAAGTGCACAAACATCAGGGAAAGGCATTTACACAAGAATTCATGTTTATAGCAGAGTTCTGTCAGGAAAAAGCAGGCTTTTAGAGTACTGACTTTATGCCTTGGTTACTTGCCCAGAACATACAGACACAAGAGTGCTTGACTACATTTGTGCAGCCAGCCGTCAGGCTCCCCAGCTCCCAGCTGCAGGACTTCACCTGCCATCCAATGTTTCTTGCAGTCTACAAGCACAGGTATCTCACATCCGTGCTGCAGAGTACATACCCATGCATGAACAGCTGCACTGCTGGGTTCCAGGTTACAAAATGAGGCACGTAATAGGAGATGCCTCACTTGCCCTCCCGAACACACAGTCATAGAATCATAGAATCCCAGACTTGTTTGGACTGGAAGAGACCTTACAGATCATTCAGTTCCAATCCCCTGCCACAGGCAGGGACACCTTCCACCAGACCAGGTTGCTCCAAGCCCCTGTGTCCAACCTGGCCTTGAGCACTGCCAGGGACGGTGCAGTCACAGCTTCTCTGGGCAACCTGTGCCAGGGACTCACCACAGTCACAGGGAAGAACTTCCCAAGATCTAAACTAAATCTTCCCTCTTCCAGCTTGAAGCCATTCCCCCTTGTCCTATCCCTACAGAGCCTTGCCAAAAGCCTCTCTCCAGCTTTCTTATCACCCTTTTAGGCACTGAAAGCTGCTCTAAAGCCTCCCCAGAGCCTTCTCTTCTCCGAATAGTTAATTATACAAACCCATGTTGGTGGTGGGATCCCTGCCTCACCCAGTGCATGCAATGGGCTCTGTTTCTGAACAAAGGACTGCCTGATATTTAATTTTCTGTCACTGTCTAGTGATTGCCTTCTCCCCCATCATTGTATGAGCCCTTCCCTGATGACAAGTATTCATTCCCTGTGAGTCCCTCTAGAGAAAGCACAGTTTACAGCAGATATGAAAACTCAGATGATGCTTTCCAAGAGCACAACACATTTCGAGATGAGAAAAAACTCATGAGTCTCCATTTCATGCAGGTGAACTGAGGGAAACAGTAAAAATGGAAAAGTAAAGGAAATAGATTGGAAGCCCTTAAATTAAAAGGTTTGGCAGTCCCACACGACACATCAAACTTGTCTACCTGTATGAGGGTCAATGTACGCTTTCCAACAGCACAGTTGCCAAGCTCAAATTTTGCCCAGAAAATGCATCAGGAGGACGTTGGGGCTAACCTTCAGCCAGGGGCCAAGCATGCTGAGGCTGCAAATTCTTTGCCATGCAGGAGGAACCTGTCCTTCCTTCCCACAACTCACCATTGCCAAGGGACTGTTCCCAGCACACAAGCAAGGAAGAAGACTTAGAAAAGAAATGCCAAACAGGGAGAAAAAGGAACTTCCTTGTCTAGAGAACAGCAATTCTTCCCGTAAAATACCTGGAGCCTCCTCAGATGAATAGCACATGGGCATCAAATTTTTGTGCCCAAGTAAAATTATCAATAATTCACCTGCCTGCTACTGGACCAAATTTCTAAGAAAGCAGATAAGCAGTAGGTCAGAAGCTCCTACTAGACTTCTCGCCACATCTCATCTTTATGGGGAGGATCATATTTCCCTTATTTTCTTCTACGGAAATAGCTCAGCACTCTACACTGCTGGCTTAGCTCCTAAAGCACCACTTCTGGGTTCAGCAGCACTCTGGAAGTCTCAGTTTACTACAACAATCTATTGCAGGGACAAAACTGGTTTTCCAAATCACATCATTAATGTGCTCAGTGTTTTCTTTCTCATTGATTTCTTTGTCTCTACTAATTGATCCAGACATCTTCTCCACTGTGGTTTAGTATTGTGACAGCTTTGCTTAATTTACCAAAGAGGTAAAACATGACTGCTTCAGGTAAGGGGTGGAGTTCATACCACATCATTGTGAATCAGAGCTGGTTCACACAGAACACATACTTTCATGTTGAAAGCTTTACATGCCACCAAAAAGCAGAAACCAACCCCAAACACACATGAGCCCTTAGCCAGGCAAGTCAGTTCTGGTCAACACCTTTAGTAGATCATAGTATCACATTTCTCAGCATCTGAAATCCCAGAGCATACAGAGAGTACCCTGTTAATCAATTAGTAGCTGTGTATCTCCAATCTTAATGATCTGGCTGTACAGGCATTCTTGTCACAGCTTTTTACATGGACTCAGGAAGCTTCTTGCTCCACCAACAGTTGAATATCCTGAATTTGACAATCGGGATGACATTTCAGCAACATCCTCATTCAGTTCTCCCATTCTTCCTGTTAAACCAGTAAAAGCTTGCCTGCACGAATGTTCACTCACTGATGGCCTGAACAACAATCTTGCATCACTCAGAGACTTCACAGAAACTAATAGAAACGAATAAACGATCGTCTTCTATCACTGCTCTCTTTGTAAGGATTTTTTTTGGCGTGTAAAAGTTTCATAGGGCAGATCTAACACCACACAACTTCCGAGTGCAGTGCCAGTGCTCTCCAGTATCACCCGTGTTAGGATGGGATAACCACCATCTAGTGGTATGTGGAGGCCATTTCACCTTCCAGAGACAATGCGTCTTTGGCTTTCCTAACCCAAAAAAACAAACTAAGCTCAGCAACTCTCCTACCCTTTTTCATCTTAAGTTCAGCTCTGCAGAGTTTCTTAGTAAATATAAAAGAGGGAAACTACAAAACCAGCAGAAGCTGGTGAAAAGCAAATGGCTCTATGAATAAAATAACAAGTGACAGATGTGAGCTTAAAGGCATGACATGAGGATTTCTATTCGACCATATGACTTTCAGCATAAGTAATTATTTAAAAAAAAAAAAAATTTATACCAATACCTATTCCTTAACTGAAGACATGATGGTAGCTGGCTGCCATGAAATAATCTCCAGTGGCCCTCAAATGTACAGGTTCCTCCAAGGGAAATGAGTGGCTGCAGTTTAGGAAGTTCATCCACCTTGCTAAAAAGCAGGTCTAATATTAACACGGAAGATTAATGACCAGATATCTCATTAAGTAGCCAGCTAGACCTATACTGGTGCTGACAGCAATATATTCATTTCTACCTACCTCCTTCTCAGCAACTAAATTAAAGGCTCCTTCCCAAGGAGAACACAGAGAGTCATAGCTCATCAGTTTTTGCATGTGCTTCTGTATTGCCCCTGCAAAAATGGAACTTTCCCAAAAAATTAGTGCCAAGTCCTTCTCAAATACACTGCTAATCTGTAGGTGCAACTAATTTACCTTCAATACTAATTGGGTGTTTCTCCCAGCAAATGGCCAATTACATGCATAATAAGCCATTTCTGCATACAAAAATCTAATTTGCGTGCACAATCATGGTAACTATGAACCAAAATTAGACATTGGGATTTGCACGTCTTCTCCTTGCTACCTGCAGAGCCTGCTTTTGTTTTAACAAAAGCATCAGAAGATGTGATATTCTTTAAGGACTCACTTAAGGTAACTGGTCCAGATCAGATGTAATTTCATATCTAAATACTTGCTATTAATTAAAAAAAAAAAAAAACCCAAAACATAAAATGTTTTCCTTCATTTTTTAAAACTCAGTATTTATGTCTAATGTGCACTCGGCTGAGAGGAGCTTAGCTGAGAAGATCTTGACATGTTTATCCATTTTCTTCTACTGACACTCTTGAGACACATTTGGTGATGCCCACCAAACAGACCTCTGCCAAGAAAAAGTGTATTTGGAAAATACTGAACATTTGCAGTAGTACCTGCTCTGGTTTGATGGGCTCAGTTGTCGTGAAAATGTCAGAATAATGTTGCCTCTCGAAGACTCGATCCAACACTTCTAGCTGCTGCTGGGTGAAAAGGTCTCCTCGCATCTGTTTCCGAAGAAAATCTCTGCCTGGGAGAGAATGGCCATTTGGTACTGGAGATTCCTGAATACCTTTCAAAGAGGAGAGAGAAGGAGAATAAGTAGTCATCACAATAGTGAGACCTACCTATGACTGTCTTATTTTATCCCTTGAATACGTGTGGGTACCAGTATGGTAACACCACAAAGACACTTTTGAGAGGAGGTTACAAGCAAGACACCCTATCCAGTCCTCCATTACAGCCAACCCTCAACACAATTTACCATTAATGATTTTACACATGATTTAAAGGCAGGACAAAAGCTGGATAAGGTCACATCCTTGCTTGCATGACTTTTACTGCACCACCTGAGAACATGTCTGGTTTGTGGTCTGGATACCAGCGGACATAAGAGAATCATGTACACCACCTATGCTATAGTCACAGTCAACTTGGGTCAGCTCCAGCAGATTCATTTTGCCCAGGTATGCAAAACACTTCACCCCTTCCTGCGGTACCAGCAAGTCTTGCTGAGCACTGAGCTATGATGTGCCCCTTGTCAAGAACCACGGACTCTCCATCCAGCCCCACCTCCCACTGTACTAAGACAGGATGTCCGGGGGCCGAGTTACCACCACAACACCCTCAGCAAGACCTGATGCGATGCACTCTCTTTGCACTGCAATATCACTTTGTATTCCTTAAACTTACCAGTATGATGAAAGCCTGGCCTCCACAGCATGTTTATGTCTCTCTCCCCTTTGGCAGAGATTTTTAGCAGAAGTCATAAGTGACTGCCCATGGCTGAAAAGCCATGAGACAAGTTTGAAAAAATGTTTATATTGGCAGTTCAAAAAGACTGCTGCAATACAGGGGCTTGTTTCAATTTGCTTTTTGGAGATTCACAGTGGTTTTCTAGTCTTCCTTCCCTGTCAGTGCTAGAAATGTATCTTTTATGCACTGAAAGCTGAGGTCTGCAGTATTCCCAGGACTCCAGGAGGTGGAACTCCAAGAACAACAGTAAATACCAGATTTCTTCTCCAGACGGCAACACCGCACTAGACAGAGGGAGGAAACATTTTAAAAATAGAAAATCTCTGCCAAGATAGTTCTGAGGAGCAGAATTCAAATGCACCCTAAACAACAAGATTTTCATGAGTGTTGCAGTGGCGTACTGTACTGTTCAAGGAGCCTGCAGAGGAATAACTTCACTCAGCACTTCTCTGGTAGATTCTGCATCAAGTTTTTTACAGCAAGTATGAGGAGATCTGTGCAAAGACACCCTGATGCTGCAGACAACGGTTTTGTCTGCAGACGTGTATGGAACACAGGTTGTGCCCAGTGGGCAAGACTTTCCACAAAGGACTATTGATTTGAGATCACCCTTCAGCACAGCTGGATTTTGTAGAAAACCGTGTGTACCCACAAAACCAGGCCACTTTAACGCAGAGGTCTCAAACTGGGGAACAACACATGAAATATTTTTTCAACCTAGCTCACTCTCTGTAACAAACTGCTTGCATTTGATGTTAGCAATTAATGCTGGAAACTTCCTCCTAAATTGTAGTTCAGCAATTTAGGCAACAACAGCTTTGTTTTTACCTGTTTACACGAAGTCACACAACTTAAATCAGGAGTAGACAGTGTTGGCTTTTATGAAGTGCAAGGATCAGTTTCTTGCACACAGGAAAAAAAAACTCTGAACCTGTCCTCCGAATACAAAGTCTAAGCATGTGTAAAGAGCTGTGAAAAAAATACAAGGGGATATAGGAAAGCAGTGTATATTTAAAAGTATATATTTATTTTTTTTACTACTCTAAATCAAATAGTATCTAATAGACCTGATATGAGTTTAGTCAACCATAGCTTATAAGATTAAAATTCTTGTTGCTAGCTGCATGGTAGCAAAGGGCCAGGAAGACCCTGCCTCTGGAGCATGTAAACACTACCTTTAAATTTCAGGTTAAACTAATGTTATTTACAATTTGGCATCAAAGTTAAGGCTTTGTGTATTTTTGGTGTAAAGGGGGTGATGAAAAAGAGTGAAATGACCCAAGAAATGGCATGACTCGGAAAATGTTCTTGGCAATGCCAGTACAGTCTGTGCATTGTTTATACACCCAAAAGTTAGGTGTATAATGAGACCCCATCCAACTTAAATACAGAGCAGCCGAGCGGCGTTTCACCAGCAGCATGTTCGTTACAGGGCACAGCTCTGGATTTCTGGGTGTGAACGTCTTGGAGAAAAGAAGACAGATGAAAGTGAAGCGTGGTGCAGCAGCCTTAGCCAGAGACAGGCCCTGGGGCCTGGTGGGCAGCAGAGTTGTCCTGGGAGCTTGGCTCCAGCCCCAGATCCAGGAGCACGATGTCCAGAGAGGCACAGGATGGGCCCATATGGAGACAGCTCAAAGTAGCCATTGCACCAGCTCGGCCACATCCATCTCTCACTACCCTCCTTCCAAGGGGAGGCAAGGCAGGGGACCACCCTGCATGCCTGCCACCAAACATCCCAAGGAATACAAGGAAGAGGAGGAGATCTCTCTCTCTGCAAGGGAAATCCAGACAAACATTGTACCAGAGAAACCTGGGAGGGAGCTATGTGCCTTGCTGCACAGTGCTGGGCAATACAGTGGGGGATAAAATCACACCGAGATGCTGGTGCAGCTCTGGAGGGACTTGGTCTCAAGGCCAGTATTTGGTACAGTGCTGGAAGCACTTCCTGCACAGCCAGCCATAGAGGGCTGCCTCCTCACACCATCCACACAGCTCAGTTTGCTGTGGCTGTCACTTGCCATCCTGAGCACCTGAGGTAGGATCAGTTTCTGAGACACGCTTCCATGCACTGCCGGGCTGCGCAGAGAAGGAGGAACAACACATGCAGAGCTACTGCCAGGGAGGGAGCTGGGAGCAATGGGCCAGGCTGGGACCACGATATGGCTGTCACTGTCCAGAGGATCCAGTTCCTGTGTGAGAGGAGTCTGGGAACCATCCAAACATCACTTTCCCTCATTACCGCTCCCTCTCCGCATCCCATGAATGAAGGAACAGCTTGTTCTGTCAGTGTTTCCCAAACTTGAGCTGATTCCAGGGAAGTGCTGGATTTTGCTGCACAAGTAGAAGACTTTTTATACACTGCTCATAACATCCAAAAGTTTGTAAAGGTTTTTGGGATGCATTTGGCTGTTAGACATTATATAAATGTGAGATAATTACCATTAGCATTATGCATTGTTTAAATACACTACAATATCTTCGATAATTAAAATACTGTTGGCAGGTTTGAAACAGTTTGTTTTATAACTAGGCTCCAGGGAGTGGTAAAAACATTTTTCATATAATCAATGCATCCACCTAGGAGGGTTATGTTTTGTTGACAGTAGCACTACGTGTGTACCTACCTACTCTGCACAATAATTAGTTCCCAGTCCAGTGGCAGCTTTCCAGAAATGCTAATGAAGAGTACAGATATAATACTCTCCTTAATGCAAAAGAGGACATTCTTCTCAGATGAGTGTTTCATCCCTCATCTCTAGCAGATCACACAAGCAGGCAAAATGGTGCTGCTAGACCACAACTTTCTGAACTACCTGACCGTTCCGCCCAGCACAAGCCCAAAAGTGTTGTCCCACCTGGGGATGTCCATCAGCCCCTGCACCCAGACTTGCCCTGATGCCCCAGGGAGAGCCCCTGCCTCCCACTCTGCCAGTACTAAGCCCCAGCATGTGCTGGACATGCTCCACTGCCTCCCACCAGCCTGATCCTGGTTTCTCCCAGGCACACAGTCCTGCTCTGGACACCAGCTCTGCTCCTCTTTGATGCGCATGTCTCTGCATGGGCAGCTGGAGGACTCACTGTGTCAGGTACAACCTCTGAAGAGGCAGAGCCCCAGTGACACAGAACAGATGCACCTCTGAGAAGAAGTACCATGCAGAGTCTTGCTGGCAAATCACTGCCTAAATGGTGTGGAGATCATCCAGAAATACTATGTCAATAAAGAGCAAGTTTTTTCTAAGGACCTAACCAAATGGCAAGACCACTTTAAGGAATCTGACAAATTCTGATCTCTTTTTTTTTTAGCATACTCTAAATATTTGTACATGACATGTTTTCTGAAACAGCAGGAGAGTATTTTAAATTGCTAAATATGCCTAAACCAGACTTTTAGTGATACTCACCCTGTAACTCACTTGATAGAAAAGTGTTTTGCTTATACATTTTAGAGACTGTGTGTAGTGTTCTGAAGAAGAAAAAGAGAATCTTCTGGTTTCAGATTCTTAGATTATTTTCCTTCTTTAAATAAGGTGGCTTTAAAGGGTTCATCAAGGAAGTACCATGCTAGCACCATGAACAGCCCATATTCATAAAGCACATGGTTTCTGTCCCTAATTTGTTCTGTCCAACTTCATTACCTGGTATCATGCATAATTACTTCACCTTATAGGGAAACGCAGGCTAATGAGGAAGGATGTTATTCACCATATTTAAAACACGATGAGGCAAATGAAATATTATGAAGAGGCAAAAAGGTAATTTGTTTCCTTGTAGCATGCCTGTAAATTAGTCTAGAGAAGATAAAGACTTTGTTTAATTACCATTTGGAAGGCTTTGTTTAAAACATAAACTGAATTTTCATGCCACCTTCTTGGGACTGTTTGGCAGGCAGCAGTCTCACGCTCTTCCCAGTAAAGTGTTAGTTTCAGGGCCACATATGCAGTAAAAGATCTTTCCATTTACATTATTTGAGTTTTATAAGCACTGTTACTTATTTTTTCAAATGACAGTATCACAAAAAAAGAAGCTTTATATTTTGAAGTGTATAAAGCTGATCACTGCATAAATATTTAAAAAAAAAAATCACTATGTTTCACAAAGACAGGTATGGGTTTTGCCATAGATCAGAGTGAGAAAGAGGTGGGGGGGGAGAGAAATCATCAGAGATCCAAAAATACTTTTCATTTGGAGAAGATATCAGGCCATTTCGGTGGCACTGATAGAGTCTCTGCTCTGTCTCCATTACCCGCTGAAGGCAGTCAGAGTCAGGAGCTGACTACGCTAGATTATATTCCCTATAAGATGGTCACCAATATATAT